TTTCAGAGACCCTGTTTCTCTGCTGCTCACCACTCCACTGTCTTCCCGGAAGTTCCACAGATTGCCTTTACATTTTTGAGTTAAAAGTTCTTCATATATTCTGGCCCTACCTAAATTGTATTGGTGTAACGAAATATCAGATAACTGTTAAAAAGGTTAAGGTAAATCTACATATTGGCATGGAAAGTTGTTAAAATACAGAGGTTTGGTTTGGTTTCGGGTTTTTTTGTTGGTGGTATTTTTTTGTTTTGTTTTGGGTTGAAACAAGGTCTCACTTTGTGTAGTGCAAGCTGGTCTTGAACTCACTATGTAGCCGAGGTTGGTCTCAAACTCACAGTGATCCTCCTGCCTCTGCCTCCCAAGTGCTGCATTACAGGTGTGTGCCACCATACCCAGCTAATATATGTATTTTTGAAGGCAGGTTTTGTAGATAGTGTTTAGATACTTAGACATGAACAAAAACTTTCTAGAAAGATCTCTGACAGTGACTGCCTCTCGAGAGTGGCACTAATGACTGAGGCATATAGGGACTAATTTTCATTTTAATTCATTTCTCCTTAATTTTTTACTCTGAACAGTCGGTACTTTTATTAAAGAAAAAAAATTTAAGGGCCAGGGATTTAGCTCAGCGGCACTGTACCTGCCTCACAAGCGCAAGGACCTGAGTTCGATCCCCAGTACCAAAAAAAAAAATTTTTTTTAAGAAAAAAATACCTGAACTAAAATCTTGTCATTGTTTTATATTCACCTATGATTACAGATTTTGGGAGTGGTTTTTTTGTTTTATTATAATTTTAATTGTTCATTTTGTGGAATATGGCATAGTAATTCAATACATATATGCCATGTATATGGCTCAAATCAGGATAATTAGCATAGTGGAGTGACTGTAGTTCACAATAACCTATCATGTATTTTATGAATAACTAAAAGAGAGGATCTCAAAGGCTTCAAACAAAGTAATGATAAGGAGGTGGAAATGCTAATCACCTAGATGAGTTTTGTCACAACTATTATTGCCTGCTTAATCAGGCACAGTGGGCAAAACTCATCATTTTGAGAATAAACTGTAAGACTCATGCTGACATTTTCTACCATAAGAGTGAATTAACTTAATGTCACCTCTCTCACCCTCTAGAAAAGGTCCCAGGGCTACCCCAAACCTAGAAGCAGGAAATTGTTTCTTAATAAAGAGGCATGGGGGTCCAGGGATTTAGCTCAGTGGTTCCACTGCCTGCCTCACAAGTGCAAGGACCCGAGTTCAATCCCTGGTACCAAAAAATAAATAAATAAAATAAAATAATAAAGAGGCATGGCCCCTGAGTAATGACTGGCTGTTGAATAATTTGAAGGGCCACATTAAGAGCAAAACTGGAAGATATGACTGTCAGATATTTTGTATTTCCCCATAATTGTTAAACTTGAACCACTACCTTCATGAAGTTGGCCAACTCTCTTTATCAGGCTATTTTCAGTGCAGAACCCAAAAATGGACTATGTGACAAATGCACCGTAATGTGTAGTTGGTGTCTACAAGCAAATGGTACCTGCTTGTTTTGTTTTTTAAAAAAGAAAAAGAAAACAACTGGTCCTCTGATCTTTTTCTCTTTTCTACAATTGCCCTAAATTTCTGACAGTGAAATATTTCTTTCCTTTATATCCTTATAAATTTTAGTGATTTAACTTAATCCTACAGTGTCCTAAATTAGAATAGGGAAATGGGGTGATCCTTCAGAACTGCCCCTTTTTGTGTGTTAACAGGTTAAGGTGTTAACAGGAAAGTGTTTATAACTTAGGACTCTCTAGAGAAGATTTATTTAACTTGTACACATAAGCATGGCGGGACAGGAGCTCTACCCCTGATCACCAAATTCTTAGCTTTTTTCTTTCCCTGAAATACTATCCCTCTTCTTAGAGTACAGTGGGTCCCTTCAGAGAGACGAATGTTACTCCCAGTCACTCTTCTTAAGGAGCTTCAGAGGTGCTCAAAATTCATTATGGAGCTAAGGCTGAGTATATGCTTCCTGATATTTTGATCAGAAAGCATTTGTAACATTAGAGATGTATATACAAATTAAGAAATTATTAGCGTTTATGTGCAGAAATAGCTAATGTTCATTCTGTTAGTCAAATCTAAAGATCTGAGCCAGATTCTATCTCTGAAAAAGAAGAAAATAATTTATTTTGAAAGGTGCATTAGCTCTTTGCAGATGGTAGGTTTATAACTCTTATTGATCCACCCTCTCTATCACCATCACAGTCCAATGATTGGCCCTTGTTTGGGAGGTGGCTGTGGTTTGGTGGCAAAAGAGCAGTGCAATGCCACCTCTTTGTCTATAAAATGAGGCCACTGATTCTTGCCTCTTAAGACTATTGGAGGTTCAAATGAGAAATATAGGTTAAAATCCTTTGAAAGCTATATATCCCTGGGCATATCTGAGAAGTCACACATTGAAAGGAGACATTATAGTTGAATGGTTAAGAACTAGGCTCTCAAGTCAAACTTGCTAGTAAGAAGAGATAAATCCCTACTTCTAGGAAGATCACATTGAGAGGAAGCTAGTCTACAGGCATTTTTCATGCCAGCTGGGCTGGATTTATAGACTGTGTGCATCTCTATGGCTTTGTTTTCTTGATTTGTGTTAAGGTGGTGATGCCAGGAGTAACATTAACTACGTGTTACTCCGTGCTTCCCAATCTGTTTGAAATTCCAAGTCAGTTAAATTCAGTACAGGCAATAAAACTAGCATAGGAGAGGGAATATTACCAGTGGACCCTCGGTTCCATTAGAAGACATTTCAAGTGTTTGAAATGAAATTATTATTAAAGAAGAAGCTGGATGTGGTGTCACATACCTATAATTCTGGCACACTGGGAGGGTGAGACAGGAGGATCACAAAAATGAGCCCAGCCTCAGGAACTCAGTGACTTAGGGAGACACTGTCTCAAAATAAGAAATTTTAAAAGGGCTGAGGATGTAGCTCAGTGCAGAGGCCCTGGGTCCAAGCCCCAGTTCTGCCCAGAGAGGGGGGAGGGGGCTTGCCAAATTGGATTTAGGTAAAGTTTGGTTTCAGTGGTGAGAAATGGAAATAAGAGGGCCAGGGATTTTTAGCTCAGTGGTTCCGCCACCTGCCTCACAAGTGCAAGGTCCCAAGTTTGATCCCCGGTACAAAAAAAAAAAAAAAATGGAAATAAGAAAAACTATTTCAAAGTTCAAGAAGACAGTGTTATAGTCCTAATATGAGGGTAAGAAGCCCTTAGTTTACCATCCTGTTCCTGTTGCTGTCTGAGATCTCTCAGGTAGGTTCTCCACTTTCCTGAGCATACCCTCTCATCAGTAAATTGGAGGTGAAGTTGAGGTAATGCACTGAAAGTATTTAGCACAGTTCATGGCACATAGTAAACACTCAGTAAATATTACTAATGCTGTTTTTAGGCAGGAGTGACTGGCTAGTATGTTTCACTGAGAAATCTAAAGAAGCTAGTGGTGTCTGATACTAAATTTGGAATGTAAAAGACGATTTGATTTAGTTTTGTGTTTTGCTATTTTAAAAGTAAAGCTGTAGGCCCAGGGATTTAGCTCAGTGGTTCTGCCGCCTGCCTCGAAAGCTCAAGGTCCTGAGTTCGATCCCTGGTACCAAGAAAAGTAAAGCTGTAGAATAAGATTTATATATGGCTGTCTAGTAAGGCAACATTTGTTGAATCTGTGGAACCAAAAACGAAAGATGGACAATTGGTTTTTTTGTTGTTGTTTTTTAATTAATAAATTTTATTTTATCCCATATTACCCCCCTCAAGCCCCTCCCCTCCCTGTGTACAAAAGCTTTGTTTCTATTTTTTCCTTCTATTTTCACTTTTTTTCTAAAGATGGACAATTGTTTACAAAGTGCTTGACGATAAAAAGAACTACTGAAGCTATAACCATTATAAAGAGAGCCTCATTGACCAGCTAGCCGACCATTTCAACATTATCACCATCCTGCCTCCTCCAAAAGCTGTTCCTAAGCATTGCAGTACATGGTGATCTCTCCCAAGAACCTACCTGTAAAGCTTACTGACCACATGGCTGCCTCAAAAAAGTTCACTAAGGCAGTTCTTTAATTCTCTAGGTCTCTCCTCTCTGCAGGGTAGCATGCAGGGCTCTCTGCAGCAGGCTAATCTCTGCCCTCAGGAAGAACCTAGAGTTTAAATGAGTTCTAGCAAGCCTTCCTTCAGAGGTCTTCCCTGTGACAAGGAAGACTAAATGGAGTGGGTGGAAAAGGAGCCACTGAACCAGGGCTCCCCACAGAATTATGTGTTACAGAAATGTCCTTGAGGAACAAATGACCAAAATCTTAACAGACATGACAAGGAGTTTCAAATAATGCCCATGTTGAGTGGAAGTGAGAAATGCAGATAAAGATGATTTGCCTGAGCCCATCCTATTAGGAAATTGAGGGGAGAAGTAAAAGAATTACTATGGCAAGAAGGATCTCTGTCATATTCCTTCATATAAAATACTGAGACTTTCTCGCAATAAATACTTGCTGAGCTTCTGCTGTGTGCACAATAATAATGATGATGATAACTAGCTGGTCATGGTGGTTGCAAACCTATAATCCCAGCACTCAGGAGGCTGAAGGCAGGAGGATCGAGGTAAGTTTGAGACCTTCTTGGGCTACTTAGTTCAGGACCAGCCTGAACTACATAGACTGTCTCAAAACAAACAAAAAAAGATGATAACTAACATTTGAGAGAGCTAGGTGTATTTCCTGGACCTATTTCCACTGGTCAGTAGTGTCAGCCCTAGAGAGAGTAGCTTAAGATGGAAGTTGGTAAGGGGGTGTGTCCCATTTTGGCTCTAAAAAATAAATAGATCATGGGTAGGAAACCAACATCTCATCCTGAACTCCTTATAGAATGCCAGGTGCAAAGCGGTACTTGAGAAATGAAAGGCAGATATCTTAAGAGACCTTCTTTGCATACTCCTGACTCAATTCTGAAGGTTTCCTCTGTTGCAGGCATCAGAAGTTGAGAGACAACTCTCCATGCAGGTCCACGCCCTCAGAGAAGATTTTCGGGAGAAAAACTCATCAACCAGCCAGCATATCATCCGTCTGGAGAGCCTTCAGGCTGAGGTGAGCCTGCCCATGTGGCAACATTTGGAGGTGAAGCGCTTTTTTTCTTGGATGCATTATTGGACAAGGAGCTCTCTGAGCCGGGAAATGAGAACCTGTTGTATATAAAAAGGACTAAAATTGCCAAAGAGGAACTAAATGAGGAACAGTTGATCCTTGTTTCTCTGGGTAGCCTGTTGTCTGGAAAAATAAAAAAGCTCAGAGTTACTGCTGATGGTGTTAAAATCATGAATGACCTACATTTTACTGACTGTGTTGACCTCTGCAAAAAATATGCTTGCCAACCCCACATAAAAGTTGGGGAAAGGCATCTTCCTTTCTGCGTTCTTCTATCTCCTTCCTCTTAGGTCCGGTTCAGTAAGCACTAGGAGGATCTTACCCCTAAAATAAGACCAATAGACATTTCTACTTCATAGGGCTTTTGTGAAGATTTCGTGGGTTAAGACATGAAGGGTACTTGGTATGGTTCTTGTGACATGAGTGCAGAACATAGCAGCCAGGGTCTGTGGCCCTGAGTGAGCTGGCAAACAGTACTATAAGCATCCAGTCATGGGAGAAGTGAAACAAGGGACATATCATCAGCTGAACCAGGTTGGGGGCTTACACCTAATATTCTCCTAAGGGCCCCTTGTCCCCTTTGGCTAAGTCAGATTTTTTTTTTTTTTTTTTTTGGTATGTGAGATCGAACTCAGGATGTTGGCTTATGAGGCAGGGGACAGCACCACTAAGCTAAATCCCCAGCAGCTAAGTTAGATTTTGAGGGACAGTCTAGGGACAGATAAAAGAGCTCTTCACTGTGGCTGAGGAATCAGCCATGTGGTCAGGCTGGAGAAGCCATAGCTGCTTTCCTGCCTCATAAGTCACTGAGGATGTTTAAAGTCTGTCAATATCTTCTCTTTTCTTCTCCCTCCGCATTTCCTTCCATCCTCTTTTCCCTTGGATTCCTACTGATACTGAGCAGCAGGTTCTTGAAGTAAGTGGAGTTTGTTCCGGTAGGTTTGGCATGCCTGTCTGTGACCATTTGTGTGCATGACTTGTCATTCAGCTGCCTTTTCCTGGTTCTGACTCCTTCAAGTGGCCTGACTTCTTCTTTCCTCTACCTGTTCATTTTTCTAGACCTTCATGAACAAGTCATTCCCGGGAATATTTATTGCCAGATTTGGTCACAAGTTTCAGGGTGTAGAGGTGGAGTGAGAGAGTTGACAGCCTAATACCAGTTCCTCACTTCACCCAGTAATAGTGCTACTTTCAAAGGCCAAGCTCTGGAATTGTTCCTTTCAAATAAGTTACTTCATGTAACTCTGAACTTCTAAGTTTGTTAAGGATCATTTGTATATCAGAATCATGTTACCTCATTACTTCACTGAGTGAAACTTGGGAAACAAAGATGATCCATGGGAAAGAGAATTTAAAAGTCAGAGGTTATTTAAATGAAAATGAACTAGAGTGAGAATTCCCTTCACCTGGTTAACTCTGTTTCAGTGTAGGGAATAGTGGGCCCATTCACAAAGGGAGCTTGCTGCTTTTGGTCTCTTACCCACGTACACACTTGAGAGACAGGATTTCTTTGTTTGTCCAGACTTCTGATCTCTCTGGCCAAAGGCCACATACCTCATTTTCCCAGCACAGCATCCTATCTGATTGATCAGTAGCCAGGGAGGATCTGTGCCCTATGAGTGGAGCTCTAGTGCAGAGTGGGAACAACCAAGAAACAAACAGAAGTGGCTCTCAGAGGACCTAGAACAGGCTAGATACTCATTTCAAAGTCTCCCCTGGACAATCTCTGAAGTTGGTCCCCAGAACTTATCCAGATAAAAACCTTAGGCATCATTCTCCAGGCTGGACTAGAGACCAGCCATGCGGTGGGATAAGGACTCAGTCCATCAGGGAACTGATAAATGGAGCCAAGGAACCTGCAGGGCCCCAAAAATTACTCCCAAATCCAGTACCCTTGGGAAGGCCTTCTAGAGCCCCTGAGCAGGGCAGTGCTCTAGGTGAAGCATTTCTGACTTTGGGAGCCCTGGCTCAGAGTTTCTTCCTGCAAACCTGCAAGCCTGAGAAGACTAGGCATCTTCTCCATTTTCTGACACTAGAGAGAGCAGGCAGACCTTCCAATTAGGAGATGTGTTTATCTTGAGAATGGCTAGGGACTCAAGTGTGCAAACAGATCAGCCTCTTTAATAAAAGGAGAGAATTCACAAACTTGCTCAGGAAAAGTTGCTCTGAGTGAAGTCAATTATTCACATGGTCCCTGTCCCGCTCCTTCCCAGGGTATGGATTGATGCAGGCACTGCTTTGCCTTCTATGGCCTGCTAGTTCCTCCCTTGGGGCCCTGGGTCTGAGCTATACCCTCTAGCACCAGAAGGGCCAGCAGTGGGGAGAGGACAGAAGAGGGCCTGAAAGTACAAAAATATGAGGCTCCAGAGGAATGCATGGGCACTTTCTCATGCTCAACAACTGAAGAAGAAAGAATAGTAGCAAGCCAGGTCCCGCCACCCCCACCCCCAAACCTTGGGGCTGAGGTAACACTGAGGGCAGGCAAGGTGGGGCCTTCTCTGTCTTATCTCTGGAATTTCCAGAGCACTAACCATCCCTTCCTCTGCCTGGCAGCCCACATTCCAGCTTCCCCACTGCTGACTCCTACCTCTTCCCAGACAGCTTCCTAGAGGGGAGGGGCTTTCTCTTCAGCCCAAGCTTGCACAGCTCTTCTCTCTTAGATGGGAGCCCCTGAGCCCCTGGGCACAATACTTAGAGACACCCACCTCCCTACTGGGGATTAGTGCTCTTCCTATGCGTCAGCCCAGGTGTAACTTCACACCACCCCTGTGGCCTTTCAGATCAAGATGCTGTCGGATCGGAAACGGGAGCTGGAGCATCGTCTCAGTGCCACCTTGGAGGAGAATGACCTGCTGCAAGGGACTGTGGAAGAGCTGCAGGACCGAGTGCTGATTCTGGAGAGGCAAGGCCATGACAAAGACCTACAGGTACTGGACAGAGATGCTGTCCTGCAGCACTAGAGCCAGACAATAGGAGCACTTAGCCAGAAAGGGAAAGCCACTGCTGAGGTTGGTCAGGAGTGGGTGATGCTCAGGTCTCACCATGGACCTGTTATGATTCTCCCAGGCATGTACTGATTTGCCCATAGCCAGTGAAGCATATCATTCCCCACAAGTCCCTCCCATGTGTTCTGAGCCACTGGTCCTTGAAAAGTTCCACACAGTTTATTCTGGGTTATTAACATGGCTGGAACACTGGGAGTGTCATTCTGGCCTCCTGGCATTTGTAATATCTGCTAGATTTCAGAGGGAGCCTGGGGCTCTCTGTCCTCTGCTCACAGCACTCTCTGCTGCTACTTTCCTAGGTGGAGGGGTTTAGTTGGCTAGCATAGAACAGAAACCAAGAAGCTCCCCACTGAACACAGCAAGACATATGCTGCTTTTGCCAGTTCCCAGAAAAGACACAGTCTGAGCCCTTTTTGAGTTTAATTAGTCTTTTTACCTCCCTAAAGGAAATTGCTTCATAGTCATATTTGTCCTTTTTGGGAACTGCCACCAGGCTTCAACTGAATTCCTAAAGCTTACACTTGACAAGAAACGAATCCCCAAACAAAAAGATAATCACTCTCAGCCTTCCCAGAAACAGAGTGGAGCATCTGCTACCACGGTGCTTTGCTGGGCTGACCTGGGACTAGAGGCTAAGGGTGTACTGGATCCTTTCAGCATGGCAGGAAGTGCACTGTACTCCCACAGTGTCATTTGTGCAGAGGCGGTTGACCAGGTAACACTCAGGTACCAGGTGGGTCCCTGCTCCAAGACTAGGCTACAGATGGCACCACTAGGCACATAGGGAACCCCTAGAGTGTTAGATGAGGAAACAGTGTCTTAGGTTAATACTATTTATCACTGACACCATCAGCTAAATTGCCATCTGAGTGATGTGCCCCTCTGAGCGACAGCTAGCAGCTTTTCTCCCTCTGTGTTTTTTCTTACTCTAGCTGATAATGTAGTGGGGCCTTGGCAAATGTTGAATAGAAAATGGGGCAGGTGTAGCTCAGTAGTAGAGCACGTGCCTAGTATACACGAGGCCCAGGATTCAATCCTCAGTGCCAGAGGAAAAAGTTTAGCCAGGCATTATGGTACATCGCTATAATCCCACCACTCTGAGAGGCTGAGGCAAGAGGATTGCAAGTTCAAGCCCAGCCTGAGCAATTTGGTGAGTTTTTTTTAAAGGGCTGAAGATGTAGCTCTCTGCATAGGTCCCAAGTTCAATCTCCAGTACTGGAAAAGAAAGAAAGAAAAGGGGAGGGCCGGGGATTTAGCTCAGTGGTTCTGCCAACTGCCTCGAAAGCACAAGGACCCGAGTTCAATATCCGGTACAAAAAAAAGAAAAGGGGAAAGGGGCGGTATTGGTATTGACTAAAGCCTCACAGCAGTTTTCAAAATAGAGTTTGCTCATTTTTTCAGATTGATGATAATAGTAGTAAACACGGTATGCCTCTACAGGGGACAGAGTGCTTTCACATACTTCCTAAAATTGAGGCTTAGGGAAAATGGATCATTTATCCAAGCTCAGATACTAGTTTCTTGGTAAAATTGAGACTAGAACTCTCCCACTTGACTTACTTGCGCCCCACTTATCCCTAGAAGTCAGCATTTAACAGCATTTGTTATCCCACAGAGTACTCTCCTGAGGGTTACTGAGATATGAAGAGGAAAGGGAAAAGAAGTACAGAAAAATAGAAAAACACCCCTTGCCAGAAAGAAACTTTCAGTCTAGCATGAATTCACAAATGAAAAGGCTGTGTTTCAAATCCATAATTGAGGACTTGGAGATGATGGGAAATAGCCAGGGCCAGTGTGGACCACAGGGTACTAACTGGCACAGTGGGCTGTGTGTTTATAGCTGCGAGAATCCCACGTGAGACCCCACACATTGTCCACTGTCTTCCAGCTGGACTACAGGAGTGCGAGGGTGTCACTCAGCCAGTCTGGCGCTTCTCACAGTTTGGAAGATCTATACTTATGGGCTGAATTCTCATCTTTCTTAATTGTGATTCTCTGTAAGTTGCCAGTAGTTAACCAGTGTCTTCCAAGAAACCCTGCCCTGTCTGTTGCTGAAATGGCCTGTACTGACATAGAAATAAAAATTCTAGTTTTCTCAGGTAGCATGGAGAAGTCCTAAACCAGATTTGGAAAATACTGAGCCAGTCGCCTTGAAATGTATTTCTCTCTTCCTCCCTCCCTCCCTCTCTGTCTCTGTCTAATCTGGGTTGCTATGAGACCTGCTGTCAAAGCAGTCTTAAACTACTGATCAAATCCAGCTTGGACTTTTTTTCAGGCCTCAGAATAAGGATTAAAAGTTATTTATTGGGCCGGGGATTTAGCTCAGTGGTGCCACTGCCTGCCTTGCAAGCTCAAGGTCCCAAATTCAATCCCTGGTATAGAAAAAAAAAGTTATTTATTGACTGTCTAGTTTATATCAAGCATTTTACCAAATTCTTAATGCTCAGTAAAGGAAATTGATATTATCCCTCTCTGTGGGCCACTTCACTGCACTATTTTGTACCCAGCTAGCCATTTTTTTTTTCTTTTACAGAACCAGGGATTAAACTCAGGGCCTCACATATACTAGGCAAATGCTGTACCACTGAGGTATATCCCCAGCCCTTTTTATTTTTATTTTGAAACAGTCTTGCTAAATTGCCCAGGATACAAGAAAAAAAAAGTGAGAATAGAAGAAGAAAAATGGAATCAAAGCTTTTGTATATAGGGAGGGGAGGGAGTGTGAGGGGAAGTGGCAAATGGGACAAAATAAAATTTATTTTAAAATAAAAAATAAATTGCCCAGGATTAACCTCAAACCTGTGATCCTCCTGCCTCAGCCTTCCATGTAACTAGGACTACAGGCATGCACTACACCCAGCCAAGCATCTTTCATGTCAAGTAGTCGGATTTCATTACCAGAGCATAGGCCCACTTGCCATGAGGCAATCTAGGAAGCTGGTGACCTGAGATCTAGTCTGCCCCAACACTAATAGTGTACCACTAAGCAAATCACATACAGCCTTCCTTGTCAGCCTCTCAACTGTCAGATGAGGAGAGTGCTCCTACTTTTGCTCAGTTACATATTGTGAGTTTAAACTTCATCTACTATATACACACAGTCAAGTGTCATCCCTCTTCATACCCAGTGTCATCTTTGTTGTACAAAGGATAATATCTTCTGGAGAGTTTATATGGTAAATGAACTCTTCCCTGGTTTGGTTTTTCTGCACATGTCTATCCAGGTGGTGAATCAGCCACTGACCAGAAAGTGAGGTCCCTCCTGATCTTTTGTTCTCTTGCTGTTATAATTAATTAAGCACCTTTGAGTGTGCATGAGTAATTGAACTAATTTTGTCCAGTACATAAGAACTTGTACTTATCAGTGTGGAACTTCTCCTGCTGAGATATATGTGGAGTTGTCTAGAAAATAATTGTAAAGCATTTTGCCACTTTAATATGCCGCTTGTAATTGTGCCAAATGCTTCCTAAGAATGCCTCCTCACCCCATAACCCTGATTTTTTTTTCCTGACTTTACACAAAACTGGGGCTAGAGGAGTTCCCACTAGACCACAGGTATTGCTGACCCAGGGGAGGCTCTCAGAGCAGGCTTGCCAGGGCCATTTTTGTTCGCTGAGCAGCCAGGCTCCAAGCCCTTCTGAGTCAGGGCTCATTTGGGTCTTTAGTGCCGTTTTTCAGCTGTTTTCTGGCACTGACAATGAAGATGAGGTTCCCAGGGCACATATAGGATTTGCCAAAGGCTTTGCAAAGCAGCCTGCTTTCTCCATCAGAACTAGAGCTCTGAGTTGTTGCCAGCCACCCTATGGTCTCTGCATCTCTGCAAGAACCATGATCCAACTTGGCAAGAGTCTGGAAAACACCAGTGCAATATCCCCTCTCTTTTTAATGGAACAAATATTACCCCAGAAATGCTGTTTTATTTATTTATTTATTTTAAAGCCTCTACACGCACTTGGTACTGGGAATCGAACCCAGAGGTGCTATCACTGAGCCATATGCCTAGGCCAGTGATGGCAAACCTTTTAGAGCTTTCAGTGATACAAATAGCCAGCTGAGGCGTGCATGCCGTAGGTTCGCCACCACTGGCCTACCCCTTTATTTTTTGAGACAGGCTTTTGCTCAACATGGTATATGTGAAATTCAGTAATGTTGTGAGGAGTTACATGATGTAATAACAGCATATTCTTTTTATAGCTGCATAGTATTCAGACATATGGATGTGCCATGATTTATGATTTTTATTAGTATTTGGATTCTTTCCCATTTGTGGCTATAATCAATATCCTGTGTGTGTCTTTTGTTTTCATTTCACTTGAAGTGCAAGGGAAATGTGCACTTAAGGGTGGAGTTGCACGATCACAGGATAGGTATATGTTTAACTACTGGAAGCCACCATGCACTTTTCCAAAATGTTTGCACATTTTCCACTCCCACCAACAGTGAGAGTTCTGATTATTCCATATCTTCATCAACATTTGATATTATCATTTAAAAATTTTTATTTATCGTAGCCATAATGATATCTTTCTTGGGAAGGGGGTGCTAATTTTTCATTATGAAGGATTTCACATAGACCTGCCCTATTTGGGGAACATTCATTTCTTCTCTTCTATTGCTTGAAAGTATGTCTCAGAATTTTAATAATTTCATCTGTAAGTTAAGTATCTTTAGGAAACACTTACTCTGTTTTATGGAATGAAGTGTTGCCTGATTCTAAAATTGAGAATAAAACCAATGAAGGCCTTTAAACTAAATTGTTGTAATTTTGTCCTTTGACAGTACTCTTCACTGAGTTTTTATTTTTAAAAAACAATCATAAAAGCAGTGGTGAAAAAATACTATGTTAACATGTAATAAATTTTTTAAGTTTCTCTGGAAGAAAAAAAATTTTTTAAATATAACCATAATGCTGTTATACTGAAAAAATTAACAGTATGTCTTTAACATCATCAAACACTCAGTTTTAAAATTTTCAATCATCTTATATCATGGATTTAAAAAAATATTTTTGTTTGACTCAAGATACAAAGTAAAATAGACCCACACATTGTAGTTGGTTGATAGGTCTCTTGAGTCTTTTTTAATCTCTAGGCTCCACCTTTATCCTTTTTTCTTGAAATTTATTTGTTTAAGGAATGGAGTTATCTTGAACTTCCCAGATCTGGGTTTTGCTGACTGTATCCCCTAATGCAATCTGACACTTTCTTTCCCCTCTGCTTTTCTGTAAGTGCAGATGTAGAAGCAAGATTGAGTTCTGGGCACCGCTGGCTGGTTTGGCTTGGGTGAACCTCACTAGCACTTATTCTTTCTCCCTCAAAGCTTCACCAGAGCCAGCTGGAGCTCCAGGAGGTGCGGCTCTCCTACCGGCAGCTGCAGGTGAAAGTGGAAGAGCTCACTGAGGAGAGGAGTCTGCAGAACTCTGCCGCCACCAGCACGTCTCTCCTGTCAGAGATAGAGCAGAGCATGGAGGCGGAGGAGCTGGAGCAAGAGAGAGAGCAGGTGCTGACATCCCTGTCACCTTGCAGGGGAAGTGGCCTCACAGTGCCTGGGCCCATTGTCCTCCCTGGCACTCTATTGCTGCCTGGTGAGGGTTCTGGCTCTGTACCTGCCTGAGCCCCTCAGCCTGCTGACTGGAGCAATGCAAAGCAGACCCTGATTAAAGCTGTCCCTAGCCCTCCATGTCCTACTCTTCTTGCCCATTGAGATCTGCACAGAGCATCCAGAAGACAGTGACAGGCAGAGAGCCCTGTCCTCCCTACTCATGCCCCAAGCCTCTGGGGATGTGTCTGTTGATTACCAGTCAGCTTTATTACTTGTGCTTTCTGCCAGAGTTTGGAACATTTATGATCCATTCTCACTATTTAATTGCCTTTGTTTTATGCTTTTCATATTTCTCATAACTATACATTCCCCTAATAATTTCCTGACTCCAACAAAAGAAGCATTCTGTAATAAAGAAACACTTTCTAGGGCCAGGGATTTAGCTCAGTGGCACCACCGCCTGCCTCAAAAGACCAGGATCCCAAGTTTGATCCCCAGTACCAAAAAAAAAAGAAAGAAACACTTTCTATAGCAAATAGAAGGAGCTGGAGGGCAACCCACCTGTGGCCCCTCCTGTCTCTCAGGAGCTATTCATATTTCCCATTCCCCAGCTTCCAATTCTGTGTGCCTCATTCCTTTGAGCACTGGGAACTCCCTTCTTGAGTGCATCCTCTCTCTCTCAATAAATCTTTCCCACTCTTAAAAAACAAAAAGCAGGGGCTAGAGAGCAGGGAAAATAAGAATTGAGAGTCCAGACAGATGTACAGATGTACTGGGCCCAAAATAAGTAGCATTATTTCTTAAGACAAATAATTTTTAAAAAACAAAAAACACTCCTAGAACTGGTATCTTGGGTCTCTGTATTTTGGGTTCAGATACTAGACAAAGATTGCCGTGTCTTCCATAAAATCCATAATCTAGAATAATTCTTTGTGACACAGCTGAGACTGCAGCTCTGGGAAGCCTACTGCCAGGTTCGCTATCTCTGCTCACACCTTCGAGGAAATGACAGTGCCGACTCAGCAGTGTCCACGGACTCCTCTATGGACGAATCTTCAGAAACCTCATCTGCCAAGGATGTGCCAGCTGGTAGCTTGCGCACTGCTCTCAATGAGCTCAAGAGACTGATACAGAGCATTGTGGATGGTATGGAGCCCACGGTAAGAGACCACTTAGAGAAGGGCCTGACCCACCAGACCTGGCTAGTAGAAGGTTGAAAGTTAGTGCAGTGGGGGGAGGTTTAACCTCAAACTGGAGCCTTATCGTGTATCTGCCAGAATTCCTCCTGAACTCTCATTTATATTTGAGAACACTGAATATCAGTGATCAGGTAGAGGGTCCAAGTGTCAGGAATGCAGGCTCCAAGGTCACCTTCCCAAAAACCAAGGTACAAACACAGTCCTTTTCTCTATATGATTATGAATGGACACTGATGACCTCAAGTTCAAGAACTTTTCCTTAGAAACTGAGTAGAGAAATAGGTATCTGGCAAAACGCTGCAGATCACTTTATGTAGCCTTTTTGTTCCTAGTGGAGGGGTAAGCTATGAATAGCCAAACTTAAGAGGCCTAAAGTTTCTGCCTAAAGAATAGAAGTGATTACAGGAAATTGAGAGAAGACCAAGGCAAAGGGCCTCTTGGAATTTCAGCTGTGGCTTCTTGGGAAGAAGGATGTTCCTATGGTGCCCTGGGCAGACTGGAATTTCTTCCAGCTTCATGACAGATTTCTCCCTGACTTACTTTCCATTCACATACCCAGTTCTCCCTGGCCGGGGATTTAGCTCAGTGGCGCCACACCTGCCTCGCAAGCACAAGATCCTGAGTTCGATCCACGGTACCGGGGGAAAAAAAATTCACAATTTCACATACCCAGTTCTCAGTAATTTCTTTCTAGGTTTCATTCTTCTCCAGAATAGATGTCTCTTTCTGTCCATATTGGATGAAATAAGATGAAGTGTGGTTGTTCCTGTTTAACTGCTCTGTTGGTTTGGGGGACGTGCTGTAGTGCAGAAGTTGTGTCACTATGGGAGAGGGGGAACTGTCCCAGGGCCATGTGCTGTTCATGTGCCCGAGGCTGAAACAACCACAAAATGAACTTAAAGCTATCCTTTGGAGGTTGAAATTGAGCTTGAGAATCTGTCCCCACCACCACTACCCTTTTCCCTTTGTCTCATTTCTTCCTTTGCTCTCTTCCTTTTTTCTCTTCATCTCTCCTTGTGTCCTCCCCACCCCTGCCATCTCTCCCTTCTCCTCCCCAATCACCTTCCCACCCCATCCTCACTGACCACCTCTCACTCCTCCTTATCCCTCCCCTCTCCATCTCTCTCTGGCTCCTCTTTTTGCTGTCAGAGCTCCCGGAGAATTGAGGATGACTCCTTAGAAGAACAGATAAGGCAGACCAGTGAGGACTCAAGAGCCCTGAGGGAGCTCATGGAGGGAGAGAGGGGTAAACTGAGGCAAAGCCTAGAAGAGCTACAGCAACTCCACAGCCAGGTGAGCACCCCCATCTTCAGCCCAGTGCAGGGAATGTGCATGTGTTCCCTGGCTTTCCCCAACTTCTGTGTGAGAAATGGCTCTTGATCAAATCCTCAGGGGACTGTGACCCAAAGTTAGGCTGTCCTGGGTATCTTCGAGGAAAGATACCCTCTCATTTAGTCCAAAGGAAGATTGCCAAGGATAAAGATAGCTGATCCTCTAGTGATATGCTGCAGAGCCAAAAGTTAGCTGCCTGGTAGATGCTGACAACCAAAAGCCACAGCTTTCAGGCCACTTCTAGATCTATTTCCAACAGCTCCTGGGCAGGGAAGTTGCCAAGGCACAGAAGAACTATCTTTACAGGGCTTTTCCCTCTTTGTAAGCACTGTCACTTCTGTGAGCCTGCTTTTCAGCCTTAGAGAACTGAACTTCTACCCTCGGTGTCCTTTCCTGTTTGATCATGATTACATCTCTCTTGTGATCACTGGAGAAGGACAGCTATATTTTAATCCGAAAATTTTTAAAGAGTAGGAGCAACCTGGCGTGGTAGCACACGCCTGTAATTCCAGCACTTGGGAGTCTGAGGAAGGAACTCTACAAGTTCAAGGCTAGCGTACCTTGTTAGTTCAAGGCCAGCCTGAACTGCATAGCAAGTCTCAAAGAAAAAACAAAAAACTTAGGAGTAGACCCACCCAGAAGGGAGCTTCTAAAGTCTCTACTAGGAGACGCAAAAAGGCCCTTTTTTACTACAGTGTGTTTAGGTTTCTGTACTTGGGGATGGCAGCTGGAGGAGCACCAGCAAGCAGTATTTGAAAACTCTGATCCAACCAGCCTGCCCCTCCTGATCCAACATTACAAGCCCCTTCCTGCTTCATGAGATTCCTTTAAGGTACAACTGGAGTCTGGCTTTTGCTTTAATCAGTATTTCTTACACTTATGGTACCTTTATAAGAATAAACTGTCTGTTTTTGAGTCATCCCAGTGGTCTTCCTAATGCTGTTCTCTTCTATGATATTGGGATGCTCACCTGTAGCCTTCACTGTACTCTCTGTGAGGGACCAGAGGACAAGGATGGAAAGATGTTACTCAGAGATATGGCTTGCTCCTGGCCAAACCCTAGGGAGCGGCCTAGACAGCCCAAGACATTCTCTTGCCTACACTCCAAAATCCTCAAGTGTTCTTTTGGCCAGGCAGAGCAATTCACATTTAGGGATAGACCTTCCAAACTGGAGAAATAAAATTTAAGGAAAATTGGATCTAGAAGTTCTATTAATTAATTAATATTTTACTTATTTTATTAAATTTTTCTTGTCCTTTTCTTTTCTTCTTTTTTTTGGCGGTACCAGAGATCGAACTCAGGACCTTGTGCTTTCGAGGCAGGCACCGGAACCACTGAGCTAAATCCCTGGCCCTGTTATTTTCTTTTGAGATAGCAAAAGCTATGTTACCCAGGCTTACCTTGAACTTCTGGGCTCAAGCGATTCTTCTGCTTCAGCCTCCTGAAGAGCTGGGACTACAAACATGCATCACCTCACTCAGCTTATTTGTTTTAAATTAGCACCTGCTTACCAGCTTTTTAATATTGACAGGGGTTTTATAGGGGGAGGGGGTCCTCCAAATTATAAAACTAGAAATTTACCCAAGTATATTATTTCATAAGAGCCGGGTGTAGTGGCACAACGCTGTCATCCCAGCACGCAGGAGGCTGAGGCAAGAGGATCCCAAGTTCAAGCCAAGCATATTATTTTATTGAGGAACACAAGCAAAGTTCTAGTTGTTACGAGTCTGTTATGGAGCTGTGTAAGATGCCATCCCTAGAGAAGTTGCCTCAAAAGTGCAGCTGATAACTGGTTTAGGCCGATTCCTGTAGACATCTTTCAAATGTCCAATGTAGGGTATAGAAAGGGGCTTCTCCCATGAGTCTTCTCATCCAGAATGCTCAAAGCAGAAAGCCTCTCTGCCACTTCAGCCACCAAATCTGCCCTGTGGAAGTCACCCTGACACCCCGGGGCAGCAGGCAGGGTGCAGGTTGAGTTCCAAAATGAGTGGAAATGGGAGCCAGCCTAGCAGACTGGTATTCCTCATGCAGGGCTGGCTAGGCATCTGCTGTGCACCCACTGTGTGCCTGGTAGTGCACTAGACCCTCAGAGGCACATGATGTTATCTCATTTGATCCTCACAACAGCTCTGTGGCGGGGATTTTGTGGGAAGTATGTATGGCTCAGAGAAGATAAAATCCTGGGTCTCTTGCCCTAACGCAAGTGGCTGCTGAGCTCTAGCTTGCTCAGGTTTTAAGTTCTTCTGGAGTTTTACCTGGATCGCGTTAAATGTTGGACTTTTCCTGCTCAGTATGTGGTTTTAGATAAAACCAGCTGGTGGAGACACTAGCTGGCCAGAGGCCATGTCAGGGCTCATTTGGTCTGAGGAGTTCTGGCTCTGCCAGTGCTTTCTGTCTTGAGTTCTGGTGCAGAACCTGCTGATGGGCACCTCACCTGCCACCTCACCTACCTCAGGGCTGGATGCACGTACATGCTGAGGCCTCTGCAGGTGTCAGCCCGTGCTTCCCCAAGGCTTCAAACCTTACTCGATCAACCTGGCCCCATAGGGCAGCTGTGGCTTTGGGCTGTCCTCAATGCAAAGCACCAAGCCCTGACATTCCTTCCCAGACTCCTAAGAGTACAAAATGCATTGCCCATCATCCCGGTGAATTGTCCTTCTGTATTTCTTTGTTGTTGGGTGTCCTCTGAGCTCCTACAGAATGGCTGCTCCCCTGGCTCGCAGCTCTGCTCTCAGTCTGGAGAACTTGATCTTCAGGCCCGGCGCCTCTGCTCATTTTCATTCTACTTGAAGAGGATTAGACCTGGGCATTGAGGGGTGTTGTTAGTCCGCTTGTGAAAGGCAAGCAGACCTGTGTGGATGGATCTTCCCTTGGAAAAATGTCAGAGTGTAATATTTAACAAGAGGGCAGGGTCAGGTGTCCTAACTTAGGCCTGATGCTATCAATCTAGACAGAAGGGACTCCCACTGTTCCATTGCTTAACACATATTTACTGAAAGCTCTATCCAGGCAGCATTTCTGCTTTCAAACAATAGAAATTTGCTCTGTGTAACTTCAGTAGAAAGTGAATGCATTAGAATTAAATCTGGTAGCATACAGAATGAACAGGAAGGAAGGTGGGAAAACTCAGCTCCCAAACAGGAAGGAGCTATGAGAAGGGGGCAGCAAAACCAGCATGCTGCCTGATGAATAGTCCCCACTGGCCTATGGCTTTGCCATGCTCCTTCAAGAGCTGCGATCCCAGGGAAGCAGGTGGAGGTGATTGCCAGTCTAGATCACATACCCATACCCAGGCTGTGAAGGAAAAGGAATGCCTGCCTCCCTTTGGCTTCCTTAGTAGGAGGCCATGCCCTGTCTCCCACGGATACTCACACAACCAGGAAAGCCCTCCAAATCAGACTAGGTTTGGGGTGATAATTATCCACAAACTAGCAAAATCAGTTTTGAGATTAAGCACTATACACAGTCAGGTTCTGGGATCCACAGATGGATACAGTACACTTCCTTCCACTCTGGTGGTCATGTGTACACAGTGACTACACTGTGGGGTGGGGGGTGAACTGTGGACAGTGATAGAACCCTAGAGGGATATTTCATCAGATTTAAGTCTAATGCATTCACTTTCTTCTTAAGTTACACAGAGCAAATTTTTATTGTTTGCAACCAGAAATGTTGCCTGGGTAGAGCTTCCAGTAAATGTGTGTTAAGCAATGGAAGGGTAGGAGTTCTTTCTGTCTAGGTTGATAGCATCAGGCATGACTCCCAGATCAGCATCAGGACTGAGTAGGCCGTGGTACCACTTACTGAGGCATGGACCACAGAAAAGGTGACAGGTTTGCATTGAGAGGTAATAACATCATTTAGGAGTATAAGTCCACATGATTTTGATTTGGGGAGCCAAGTGAGAAACAATGAAAAAGAACCAGGCTGCACTATGTACTGTTGGAGATGCAAGCCAGGTCCCTGGCTTTGGAGCCATCTAAGGACCTGCTGATAGCAGTGTTCCATGTAGAAGATGGCTAGGAAAAAACATGAAGCCCCATCCCCCCAAAATTACTTCAGAGCCCTGAGACATTAGTAGTCTCCTCCGATAGTCTCCCTGGGTGTGCCTTGGCATGAAAGAGTTGGCATGATGTGCTGAGTACAGAGGGTGTCCCGCCTGTGGCTACAGGTCATGGGCCGAAGCTCCCTCAGATTTGTTGCTCCTGAGCTACAGCCTAAGACATGCCATCCTTCCTCAGGAAAGAAGGGCCCTCCCACAGAGAGGACACCAGTAGGTGCTACCTGCCCACTCCCACAAGCACTTAGGGTTCTTGGGTTCCTTTTCACCTCTTGGAGGGCAAAAGCGCCCAGGCCCAAACCAATGGTATCACAACATTCGTTCTTTGGTCTCCCACTAGGTGACACTACTGAGTGTGGAGATGACTGCACTCAAAGAGGAGAGGGATCGACTTACAGTGACATCGGAGGACAAAGAGCCAAAGGAGCAGCTTCAGAAGGCCATCAGGGACCGAGATGAAGCCATCGCAAAGTGAGTGGCCCTCACTTATTTTTTTTTAATAAAATTGAGCGTATGCCTAATTTTAAAAATTAAATCATACAGAAGAATTTAAAGGTGAAGGTTTATTTCCATGCTGCCCACCCTTCCCATCCCATTCTCCCCAGGTGGACGGTGCTGTTGAAGTTGGGTGTGCATTTTTGGCAGACCTTTTTCCTGTGCGTTAATATAGGTGTATGTGTAATATAGCTGTGACGGGGGGGCTGTTTTGTTTTCAGGGACTGGGGATCAAATTCAGGACCTTGCGCTTGCCAAGCAGGTGCCAGCACCACTGAGCTAAATCCCAGGCCCTTGTTTTGTTTTTTAACTTACATCTTTAAAAGCTTTTATTCTGTCTCACACACACATATATATGGCTCATCTTTTTTATTTTTAGGT